GTGTATATGTATCATTTGTTTTTTTTTCCTGTATTTTACTGTATGTACAGATGTCTATGGTGTGTGTATGTCACCAGCCTCGAACATGCATTAGACATTCACAACATTTTTTTTTCTTTATTAAACCCCCTTCCACCCACCTCTCCTAAAATTCTCTCTGTTAAGGTTTAATCTCCCCTCCTCCGATACTTACACTCTCTAAATTCTGTTTTTTATTTCCAAGTTGTTTTTTCTGTTTCATTTTGAATTTGTAGGTCTGATGAATTGGATCGTATTTATGATTCCAATGGAATAAATTATGACCATGGAATATTAGTGTTTAAGCCTTTTTTATATATATATATATATATATATATATATATATATATATATTGTTCCTGTTTTTTGTATGTGTGTTATACATTTATGTGATAAAATATTTAATTTATAATTCTTTCATTTTATGCAAAATTTTTAATGTAATTTTAGCAATTTGAAGTTAAAATCAAATATTCTCTGTAATACTATAACGTTCCTTATACGTAATATATAAAAATAAAAATGTAATTTTTATTTAAAAAATAAATTCTAAGGTGAAATTTTAAACATTTAAAAAAATTTCCTCCAATTTCTTCCACAATCTAAAGATAAATAAAATAAAAGTTTTAAAATATCTAATAATATGTATTTTAATATTTTTGAATAACAATGTTGTTAAAAAAGTCATAAAATCTTTTCCATCAAAATCAAAATAGTAATGCAAATTTAAAACTTGGGATAAACGTTTTCTAAATAGGAATTTATTAAAATGAATTTTAAAATTCCATTTTTATAAATACAATTATCTAAAAAAATATTGAAAATAAGATTAAATCATCATCCGTATTTCTCCATTATTTTTTTTCAAACAAATTTTTTTCAGTAAACCATTTTCATTTTGTACAGAAACTGTTTATAGGGGATTTTGGTTTTTTGAAAAGATTTAAAAAAAAAAAAACAAAAAATTTTAAAAAAAATTTTTTTTTGTATTGAATTAAAATTAGGTTTTCTATTATTTTTATTTCAAGACATTTTAGTCAAGGGCATTATTTTAAAAATCATTAAAGTCAAAATAAAACATTCTCATTTTTTGCCCCAGAATGAATTTTTTTTATTTCTATTCATGTCATATCTATTTTTCAACTAGAAAAAATTTTTTTTCTCTTAAATTCACAAAGATAAAATTACACTTAAATTAATTTATATCTTTTGTTATTTATTTGTTGATTTTTGTTATTATGGCCAGGTTTCTAAAAAAATATTCTAACAATATTTATTTAAAAACCATTCATTTTGGACTTTCCCCGAATGTTTCTATATACATATCTTTTGATTATCATTCTCTTTTAGAAATGTATTTTGTTTTCACAATCTGAAAAAACAATTAAAATCCTCACAATATTTTTGTTTAACTAAAGAAAGTTCTAACTTACAAATTCCAAATGAAAAAAATGTTTTGTATAAAAATACCTTTTCAAAACATTCTAAGGTTAAAATTTTCAAGATTTAAATATATTTTAAAAATTATCAATCTAAAACAATAAAGATACAAAAAAATCTAACAAATTTTTTAATAACTTAAATTTTGTCTTTTAAAATGAACAAAATTAGTTTTTGATCTTCATTATTTGCAAGAAGTTATCTTTATAAAAAAAAAATATTTCATCAATCAAGCATGTCTAAAATCTCAAATAATTGACAAGTTTTTCAAAAAAAAAAATCATTTGCTCAACCTCACTTGTTTATCTTGATAGAATTTTTAAAATGTTTACATTAAGACATGGTTGATAGTTATTTTCTATGTTCCCAGATGAATATTATAAATTAAATTTTCCATGAAAATACACTGACAAAATTTCCATATTATTTATTATATTTTAAATACTATTTAATATTTAATTTAAAAATTCAAATTTAATACATGGGGATAAATCATTATTTACTTTTTTAAAGTAATTAGTAAATTCCCCGAAGAATAGAAACTTTAATATTCCCAAGTAAACTGCTTTATCTTTTTTTCCTTTATTGCGACAGGATGTTTTATTGATCAATCAATATTTTTCTTAAGTCTATATTTAATCATTATTATAGTGTAATCTATAAATTGCACACCAAAAAAAAAATCTTATGTTTCATCATTTATTATTTTATTAGTCCTTTTATCAAATGAACATTAGTGTTAAAAAAATAAAAAACAAAAAAAAATTTTTTTTCATCAATTTGAATCATCTTGTTATGAATTCTGCACATTTTCCTAAATTTTTGAATTTTAAACAATTTTGGCATTAAAAAATTATTTTTAAATAAATTATGCAAAAAGTTAAATTATCTAATGTTCCATTTTTTAATTGATATCCGGCTTCTTAGGAAAAGTAATTTGGAAAAATTTTTCAATAATGCTCATCTCTTCCTATTCAAGAAAATAAAAAAAATTTGGATTAAGATGGTATTTTGGGAGGAACAATTCGATTGGCCATTTTTATGTTTTCTTATAAATTGCATTAAAAATAAAAATAATGTCCCAAACTTTGTTTATATAAAAATAATCAAAAAAATTTTATCTGAAAAATAAGTTGTCAAAAAACAAGTCTTGATTTTTTCAAAATGTTCAGCTTCATTTAAATTTCAAACCTTCTCTTAGCTATGAAATTTCGATTAGAATCTACAAAACTAAATTTCTATTAATTTGAATAAAAATCAAAAGCTATTTGAAGAAAATAAGAGAATATTTTAAGATGACAATAGACAGATGAAAAACATGATTCACTTTGTTTATTTAAAACAAGTTAAAAATTCCATAAATATACATTGTTTTAAAAAAAAATTACCTGAATTTCTGGTATGAGGAGTTATCATTATTTACAGTCAGACTAGAGGATTAAAGTCTTGGTTAGTGAATTTGGTAACATAGTAATTGTGGCCAAAAAGTAGTATGAATCTATGCTTAAACTCCATTCAATCAAGGCTAATAACTAAACTGTACTAAAAAGACAATCAACCAAGATGAAATATCCCTAGACATTGACAGAAGAACAAGAACAATCTATTCTCATAGATTAAATAAAGGGTTCAGTTCAAAATTCCCTGATGGTCACATGAAATGATAAACAATTGAAGGATGGAGGGCACAACAGCCAAAATGTAATAACAACAACAAAAATGAGGATAATAATCCGATGTTTAAATAAAAGCATAAATTCAAGTGAAACTTTTATTTTATTCATTCCTGAAGTGAATCTTCTTAAATATACCTACAAATATACAAACAAGAATTGATATTCTAAAAATGTTGTGTAGTAATAAATGTGAAATTGTTTTTTAAGTTTTTAAAAAACACAGGGGAATATACATAGTTATAACATTAACTTTATTCACATATTAATCAAAATATTTTGAAAATAATGTCATGCTTATCTAAGTGTCCAAATTATATACCAACAGAAAAGATAAAATTTTTTTAAATATTATTTCTCAAAGTAAAGAGACTGGATCGATTTCTTGTATAGTGTTTTTTTATAGAATCAGAATTTTTATTGGAAAAATTTTTTTAACATAATTTGCAACTTTCTAACTAATGAATTTTCAACCTGGAAATAAATAATAAAATCTTTAACATTAAAGAACCAACAATATTTTAATATGGTATCTTATATTCACTAAGGGGAATAACTGTTCAAAATTTTTTATTTCAATTGCTAATTCCTTAATTCTACTCCATTATTTTTGATAAAATGTTTTAACTAAGAATTTAAAATAAATTTAGTTTTAAAAAAATCAAAAAATAAAATATATATTTGTGAAACATTATTTGAGAAATATTAGCTGATTTAAAGTTTAATTAAGCTGATTTGAAAAAAAATATTACTTTAAGTTTAAAATAACAGAAATGGATTTTTAAAGCAAACAGTAGTGTAATTAAGTGTTTATCAACATCTTGTAAATCACGACAAGGTGTTGACAGGCTCATTGCTGTTGTATGATGATTATCTGTTAAAACAATGATGGATGAGAAACTTTTTATATAATTTTTAAGTACTCAGTAATCTTAAAAATGTTCTCCATAATTTTAAAAACACTGAATTTAAATTTACTATAGTCATTGCTCTAATTTTCTGATTATGTCGTGTATGATTGACCAAACTTTCAAACAGGGACACATTACACAGACATAAAAAATAAAAAAAAAAAATTTTTTTTAAAATATTTAAAAACAACTTTTAATGAGCTTTTCAATTTTTAATTCATAAATGTAGTTTTCACTTAATAACAATATCACTAAACACCTTGAAGCAATGCAGAATTTTAAAAGATTTAAATTATTTAATTAAAACTTTTAAAAAATGAAAACAATTTTTATATCAATTATTTATTGAAAAATTTTTTTTCTTTAGACAATAATGTCCTTAATAAATCTTATTTATAAAAGCAATTGAAAGCTTTTCTAATTAAATAATATTATAGTTTTATTGCATTTTTTTATTTTATGATTCTTTGCAGATTTTCAGTGACTTGTCTTGTTTAAAAAAAAATTGATTACTTAAATTCTTCAAGGAGTTGTGCTTTTAACTAATAAAACAACTCTTCTTGAAATTTAATTTTTAAACATTTCATGAAATTAAGTAAGTTTTTTTTGGTGGGGGGTAACATATGTTAAAAAAAAAAATTGCCAAAATTTCAAAAATAATTTCATTCATTTGTGAAAAAGTCCTGAAAATTTCATTAAAATCTGACAATTATTTAATTTTTGCAAGAATTTCCAAATCTTTCGGACACATTATTTGAGTAAATGCAGAGGTACCTACTCTTAAGTAATTTGATATCAATTACAGCAGCTTACATCAATTTTCTGTAAAATGATACAAAATAACAAATGAAATATTCAATAGAATAAGGACTCCTTTAACATTGATAAACAAATTCGTTTATCAAAAAGTTATTATTTAATCAGTAGTGCTTATCAGACAAAGTGTACAGTATTAAATTTATGAAAGAAGGGAGAAAATGTTTAAATAGCTACATTACAAAAGTATTAAAAAAAAAAAAAAAGTTACATTTTCCTCCAAAATAGATCATATTTTATTTGAAGCTATGTGATACTGCTACAATAATACTAACCTCAACCCTCATATGTGGCTGTGAATTCATATAGTCAAATAACTTCTTATAGTTTTCATACTGTAAAACCCATTCATCAGACTTTTCATACCGGAAATCATCTCCCAAAGGAACAAAAAGTATATTCTGTCGGTAAAGTTGTGCTTTCTTGCGGTATTGGTCAAGTAATGTTTCTGCTCTGGAAATAAAAAAGACAATTCTAAATATTTACAAAAATTTATAAGCTTACAAATATGAACAGAAATAAAGAATTCCTTTTCTAGTTACATAATTCCTGACACACAGTATTTTATACATCAACAAATTAATCTTCATATTAATCAATGAAGCAACTACAAAATGAAAGATTATGATTTTGCATAGGACATTAGATTTCAATTGGATTATTTGCTTATTCAGTATTTTTATAAACCTCTGCCCCTACCTGATGAAAATAAAAGGGTTAAAAATAATTTAAATATGATAAATAAATTCTATATGTAATAAAAAATAATACCAAGTAATCATAAATCAACCATTAAAAACATTCTTGCTTAAGATATTGATCACCAACTGAGTTCTTTCACTAAAGTTCCCATTTAAACAACTCCATTACTCAATGAATGGATGGATGAAAAGAAGTATGGATGAAAGGAAGAAGGAAACAAAGAAGGAAAGGATAGAGAGGAAAGCTGAAAGGAAGGAAAGCTAGGAACGATGAAAGGGAAGAAAGCTAGGAACGATGAAAGGAAGGAAAGATGAAAGCAAAGAAAGCTAGGAAAGATGAAAGCAAAGAAAGCCAGGAAAGCAAAGAAAGCCAGGAAAGCAAAGAAAGAAGAAAGGAAAGGAAGCCAGGAAAGATGAAAGCAAAGAAAGATGAAAGGAAAGAAAGCCAGGAAAGATGAAAGCAAAGAAAGCCAGGAAAGCAAAGAAAGCCAGGAAAGCAAAGAAAGCCAGGAAAGCAAAACTGCCAGGAAAATTTCGTGCAGAAAATAAAAGGAAAGCAAAGAAAAGAAATTCAAAGCAAGAAAGCCAGGAAAGCAAAAAAGCCAGGAAAGCAAAATAAGCCAGGAAAGCAAAGAAAAGTTTGTTCTAAGATAAAGAAATCCAGAAAAGGTTTTTAGCCAGGAAAGAAAAGAAAGCCAGGAAATTTTAAAGAAAGCCAGGAAAGATGAAAGCAAAAGAAATAGGAAAGATGAAAGCAAAAAAGCCAGGAAAAGATGAAAGCAAAGAAAGCCAGGAAAGATGAAAGCAAAAAAGGAAAGATGAAAAGAAAGAAAAAGGGAAAGAAGAAAGCAAAGAAAGCCAAAAAGTTGAAAGCAAAGAAAGAAAAAGCAAATAAATTTCAAAAACCATGAAAGCAAGCCAAAAAGCAAAATTCTTTAAAGCAAAAAATCCTTAAGCAAAGAAATTAGGAAAGCAAAAGCCAGGAAAGCAAAGAAAAGGTATTTTATTCGGATGCAAAGAAAAATCAAAGATGAAATATTGAAAGCCAGGAAAGCAAAGAAAGATGTCAAAGCAAAGAAAGATTTTGAAAGCAAAGAAAGGAAATTAAAGAAAGAAAAAGCAAAGAAAGCCAAGAAAAAAGAAAAAGGAAAGCAAAGAAAAAGAAAGAAAGCAAAGGAAAAAGTAAAGATGGAAGGAAAGCAAAAAAGATGCCAAAAAAGAAAAGAAAGAAAGCCAGGAAAGCAAAGAAAGAAAAGAAAATGAAAGAAAAAAGAAAAAAGGAAAGAAAGAAAGAAAAGAAAGAAAGGAAAGCAAAGAAAGAAAAGAAAAGAAAAGAAAATTATTCTTAAAAAAAAAAGCCAGGAAAGCAAAGAAAGACAGGAAAGAAAGAAAGAAAGGAAAGAAAAGAAAGCCTGGAAAAAGTAAGAAAGCAAAAGAAGGAAAGAAAAAAAAAGCCAGGAAAGCAAAGAAAAAGGAAAGAAAAAAAGAAAATAAAAGAAAGAAAAAAAAAAGGGGAAAGCAAAAAAAGAAAAGAAAGAAGAAAGAAAGAAAGAAAGGAAAGAAGAAAGAAATGAAAAGGAAAGAAAGCCAGGAAAGAAGAAAGCAAAGAAAGATGAAAGGAAAGAAAGCCAGGAAAGATGAAAGCAAAGAAAGATGAAAGGAAAGAAAGCCAGGAAAGATGAAAGCAAGGAAAGATGAAAGGAAAGAAAGCCAGGAAAGATGAAAGTAAAGAAAGCCAGGAAAGCAAAGAAAGCCAGGAAAGCAAAGAAAGAAAGAAAGCAAAGAAGGAAAAAAAAAGGAAAGCAAAGAAAAGAAAAAAAGCAAAGAAAGCCAGGAAAGATGAAAGCAAAGAAAGAAGAAAGCAAAGGAAAACGAAGCCAGGAAAGATGAAAAAAAAGAAAGATGAAAGGAAAAAAGAAGGAAAGAAAGAAAGCAAAGAAAGATGAAAAGAAAGAAAGGAACGAAAGATGAAAGCAAAGAAAAGATGAAAGGAAAGAAAGAAAGGAAAGAAAGAAAAGCAAAGAAAAAAAAGGAAAAGAAAAGCCAAAGAAAGAAAGAAAGCAAAAAAGAAAGATGAAAGCAAAGAAAGAAAGGAAAGAAAAAAGCCAGGAAAGAAAAGAAAGAAAGGAAAGCAAAGAAAAGAGGAAAGAAAAAGCCAGAAAGCAAAAGAAAGAAAGGAAAAGAAAGAAAGCCAGGAAAGAAAGAAAGACAGGAAAGAAAGAAAAAGAAAGAAAGAAAGAAAAGCAAAGAAAAGAAAAAAAGAGAAAGAAAGAAAGGAAAGATGAAAGAAAGAAAGAAAAGGAAAAGAAAGCCAGGAAAAAATGAAAGAAAAAAAAGAAAAGGAAAAAGCCAGGAAAGATGAAAGCCAGGAAAGATGAAAGCAAAAAAAAAGAGGAAAGATGAAAGAAAAGAAAAGAAAACAAAGATGAAAGTAAAGAAAAGAGGAAAGATGAAAGCAAAAAGAAAGCCAGGAAAGATGAAAGAAAGAAAGAAGGAAAGAAAAGCAAAAAAGAAAATTAAAAGAAAAGAAAGAAAGCCAGGAAAGATGAAAAGCAAAGAAAGCCAGGAAAAAGAAAGAAAAGAAGGAAAGATGAAAGCAAAAGAAAAGAAAGGAAAGATGAAAGCAAAGAAAGCCAGGAAAGATGAAAGCAAAGAAAGCCAGGAAAGATGAAAGCAAAGAAAGCCAGGAAAGATGAAAGCAAAGAAAGCCAGGAAAGATGAAAGCAAAGAAAGCCAGGAAAGATGAAAGTTTAGAAAAGATGAAAAAAACGAAAGAAAAGTAAAAGAAAGGAAAGATGAAAAAGAAAAGAAAGCCAGGAAAGATGAAAGCAAAGAAAGCCAGGAAAGATGAAAGCAAAAGAAAGCCAGGAAAGATAAAGCAAAAAAAATGCAAAGGAAAGATGAAAAATTAAAAAAGCCAGGAAAGATGAAAGTAAAGAAAGCCAGGAAAGATGAAAGCAAAGAAAGCCAGGAAAGATGAAAGGAAAGAAAAGAAAGTTTGGAAGTTCAGTACTTATGGTTCCTAGAACAGCAACATCAATGGTGATGACTCCCTCACTCTTCATTGATCCCAATTTGTACACTTCCCATTTTAAACACACACAATGATCCAGTTTTTTTTTTCTTCTTTATCAAATACTATCTCAGAGACGTACAATATCTATGATGATGCACGTTATTTCTTCTTTACTATTATTATCATCATCATATCATAATTCTGCTTGTTCCCGAGTCAGCACATACATTAAAGCCCTGATAATACATCATAAATAATGGATTAATTCATTTTGAATGCAAGGAAAGTTGGAAGAAACATATCAGAGAAACTGTTTTGAGGTGGCAATAACACTCATGTGTTTCAGTGTAATGGAAAAACTAGTCAATTTCAAATCTTTTCATTTATACCCTTTTACTTTAAATTATCACCTGCATTAATACATGTGTGTTACTATAATATTTCATTAAAGTTATGAAGCTAAAATATTTAGTAATTCAACAGGGGAACTTACATAGGTATTTTATAGTTGTAGAACTCACAGGGAGCTTATTCAATTATTATAATATCTGACACACTATAAAAAAGTAAATTTAATTAAAACCCTTATCCATAGGGATTTAATGATCTGTTCTAAGATTAAGTTGAATGATGAACTCAGGTTTATTACTACTACTCTCTGAAACAATGCCTATCTGTTGAGCATTGTTCAATCAATAATTAGGAATAAAATTAAAATTGCTGAATTCAATAAAGTTTAGTACAAAGATGTCTTGTGTACCTGTGCCTTCTTTGGCTGGGTAATGTCAGTGATAGATATGCTAGGCAGGTTTCCGGAGCAGTTCAACATTGTTATTTTTCTGCTTACACTCGTATTGTCTTTTCTACCAAGCTTGTCCTTCCATTCATGCAGAAGGATGTTCTCCCTCCACATCATAATAGTTCTTTAATTTATTCCTTTAAATGTAGTTGTGGCTCACATTACATAGGGAGAGTGACTCAAAGGCTGGATGTCAGAATAAAGCAACACATTCCAATGAAAATCCGCAATCCCAAGTACACTTCTTCAGACATTCTGACCAATATATATGGGAAGAGCACCTAATAAATAGCCATAATTGTGCCACTAATTTCAGTGTGTACTCATTTACTATTCTTAACAAGTCCCACTCGAATTACCACTTGAAAGTGTTGCAGGCCATTTATATTTTATCTTTGAAGCCCTCTCTGTGTAAACAGAAGGATTTTGTACTGGGCCTCCAACTAATTTCCATCTAAGAAATATCCCCCTGCCTCCAGTACATATTGTCCATTTCTTTTTAGTGATAATTCTATTATAATTTATTAATCTCAATTTAGCTGTGTTGAGCGAGGTTCAAAACCGGTCAACTAGTCTGTTTTTCATTTTTACTTTTTATCTATTATCAACAGGAATGGTAATAAAAATAAATCTTGTCTTTTCATGGTGGTCAAAAAATTAAATCTATATTTACATCTTTGCATAGCTTTTATATAAAAAATATTTCAAATTATTACCTAAATAATGTTATAGATGTTGCTTTCAATTTGAAATTTTAATAAAAATATCAGGAATGATAGAAATTATTGCACAATCTTTATGCAGTTAAAGGACTAAATTTTAGAACTAATTTTTTGACAGTGTGTACACGCACTTAGCTTAGTCTGGTACAAGGGCAGAATAGACAATCTCCAAGCAACTATCAAACTCCCTACATTATTTCATGGTTTGTGAGAGCAGTTTGCTAGCAATTATTTTGCACAGCTTTCTATATTTATAGAGACATATATTTTTAAAATTTTTATTTTTGGAGTAAATTTTTTCTGAAATTTCACAGCTTGACATACACAAAATCAGGAAATTTACAGATTAGAAATACATTTTCCCCAAAAGATTTTAAAATTACTTGTTAAATTGCTAAAAAATAAAATCAATGCAAAATTCTAAATTTATAAAAGCTTCAAGGATCAGAATTTCAAACATGTAATAGTAAGATGCAGAGAAATTTGCAGTATTACCTAGACGCCACATTATCTTCTGAAATCGGTACAGGAGCAATTTTCCATGGACAACTGTACCGCAACCCTGGCAAACGCCTAAAATCGAACTGGCAGCAGACTTTGGGATCAGGCCCACATGTGTGTGGGATATCATAGGAATAAAACGGCATCATATGGCAAAATATATCTGTACGGCCTGTATTATCTAAAAGAGAAAAAACAAAAAACAAACAAGAAATTGATTAGACATTAAGAAGTGAAAGATTTTTTAAATATCAAAATATTTTGCAATATAAGGGTTTCTTTTACCATTCAAATGACAAATTTTATTACTGGAATTATTTATTTATATATATATATATATATATATATATATATATATATACACACGCACGCAGAGGGTGCGATGGATAAATTGTCGTATAAATTATACAAAAATGAAAATAACATCTGATTTTAACACATGCATATATTTACCAAAATTACACAAAAATATCTTGAAATACTAAAGACTAAATTTATTCAATAAAATTGCCATTAGCTTCAACCATGGCCTCCTGATGGCTTCAGAATCTCCTGCAACTCTTTTGGATGGTCTCCTTGTTTAAGTTGATGAATGTTGCTATAATCTTTGCCTTCTTTTCATATCAGAATGATCAGAGTGAGTTTTCCGGGCTACTGTACCTTCGTAATCACCATTAGACTCATCCAACTCTTTCTGAATCCTCTGCACTATCCAAAACACTCTGAAATGTTTGCATTAGAGCTTCCAGTGCAAATGCCAAGAAGTACGCTTCCAAATTTCTGGTGGAGTGAATTGTGTCATGGTGCTCTTTTTCTCACAAAGAGTACCCAACTGACCATACTATACTGTACAGTCAACAAAATCAAAAACAAATGCACAAAATTAAAAATATAAAATGGCGACAATTGACCCGGCCTCACTGTGTGTATATATGTGTGTGTGTGTGTGTGTGTGTGTGTGTGTGTGTGTGTGTGTAATATATAAACTATCAACACTTGGAAGTTGTAGTGAACTGAGATAATCATTCTACCCTTAAGGAAAAATTCATGGGCATTTTTTGAATACAGTGTTTGTTGGAGAGTGAGTTATTTTCCAGACGCGTTTGTCAAGTGATTTTTTTTTTGTGTTGTAAAGTAACAAATTTGCTTGAGCACTTAAACTTCATGTATAAATGTAGCCTTGTTTTTTTTGAAATTGAAATATATATAAAAAAAACATTAACAGCAACAAACAGGACATTATTTATTATTTAAAATATTGTAATATACTTGTGATCTCTGATGATGGCTTATGTAAGCTGAAAGCTTAGACAGGATTAACAATAAAAACATATATCAACATAGTGATTTTCTTTTTGTTTCAGTGATAATACTAAAAAGATTATTCAACAATATGAAAGGAATTTACTTAAAATAAATAGACAAAACTTGTCTATATTATTTAACGAAACATGCATTTATATATATATATATATATATATATATATATGATAATAATAATAGCTGGTCACTCGTATTCAAGGATACTTGTCTATTAGAGCAGCTAGCCAATCCCTATTGCAGATGCTCATTTAGGCACATCTATGTTTGTTCAACACCCACAGAACCAACCTGTGGTTTATACTGTAACTATGCTGAGCAGAACTTAGTTCAGTTTATGGGAGAGAGCATGTTGTCTAGCATGATCAACAATCTGAACAACGCCAGCACACACAAACCCTCTTTTACTGATGACTTGCTCTTTGTGCTAGCACAGCTATTAACAGCCCCCAAGGGTTCCGTCTACCCAATTTCACTCAAGGCCTGGGTTAACCTGTGGTATGGTTTTCAGGCACTTTCCAAAGGTGCCGCATGCTGGGATTGTCCCCCTCCAGACTGATAAAGTCAGTGAAGTTTCCCTCTTGAGAAATTAACCATGGTGAGATTTGAACCTGGGTCTCATGGTCAGAAAGCAAATATTCTAACCACTCAGCCATACATACATACATATACACACAGACACACACTACTGGTCAAAAGTTTGGGACCACCCTGAGTTGTTTCTCTAAGTTCATAAAAAGACTAATTTTGCATATTTGGATAAATAAATCCACCAAGTGTGTATATATTCAAATCCTTATATAAAATTCAAACAACTTTTTCTATAAACATTTATAAATTTATTTACATGAGCTTTGGAAATTTTGTTATAACCTGATACCTTTATTGAACTGTAGAGCAGAAATTTACAAATATTTCAACCCTACTGCTTGGTAGAGGTTCAATTCCATCTAGATTAGTGGTAAATTTGCTGCATATATATATATATATATATATATATATATATATATATATGCTTCTATCTTAATGAAATAACAAATTAGTAATTAATCAATACTTTCATATTTTTTCATAGTATATACATAACTGTCAGGCTAGTAGGCATCTGTCAGTCTCAGGAGACTGAAGTCTACTAGGGTGCCTCACTAATCCCTGTTGCAGACGTCTGCTCAGGCACATTTTTGTTTGTTAAACACCCACAAAACCCATCTGTGTTTTTAATGCAACTATGCTGAGCAGACTATAGTCACATTTTCTGAGAGAGAACACATAATCTGACATTAACAGTGGCTGAACAAGGCTAGAAGGCTCAAACTCTTAGTCACAATGACTTGTGACTTAATGCTAACATGACTATTGATAGCTTCCAAACAGTTACATCTATCCATTTTAATTTATAAGGTGAACCTGTCTTCCAGTACTTCCTAACAGTGATTTTCTAAGAGTAGCTTAAATGTGGCACAAGGCTGAAAACATGGAGCACCCAGTGAAGATTGAACTCACTATTCAGTCATAACTGATCTAGCAAGAGAAGCTTACTAAACATTATATGGTGAGACAGGATTGTCTTTCTAGGCCAGTATTATCAAGAAGTCACCTCCTTGACAAACAGACCATGGTGAGATTCAAATGCAGGTCTCATGGTTGGAATGCTAACATTCTAACCATTCAGCCATGTTGAATAGTGTTAAAAAAAAAAAAAAGCAGCTGAAGTGATATTTATTAACAAAAGTAGAAATTAAGAAAACAAATATTTAAATTGTATATCCTATTACCAAGTTACCTAATGAAACATTCAGAGATTTTTTTATGTTACCTGCACATTGTTTTTACACTCACACACACACACACACAAAAAACAAAAACAAAAAAAAAACAATAAAACTTACCCCATTCTTGTCTCCACATAAATTCCAGTTCTTTAGACTTGGCCAGATGCTTCTTGATAGAATAATGTACACGCTGGATCAACATATCTTTAAAGCCCATTTTCTTCAGAATGTAAGCCATTGTTGGTGAAAGACCAAAAGGATCAATTGACCAACTAGCTTGAGGCTTCACACCTACAACACCACAGTAGAAAGAAAGAAATGTAGATGGAATAAACAGCAAAATAAAAGCAGTTTCTTCTCTTCAACATTTTGTCAAAGGGAACATCTTTGATAATTTATATTTAAAGTTAATTAACTAAACTGCATTAATTTATGCAAAATTCTTCAGCATTTTAAAGGTGTTAGTTGTTCTGAATATTTAAAAAAAACAAGAAAATTGGAAAGGAAAGATAACAGTATAAAAATAACAGCTTCTATACAAAAATCAGTTTTGTTTTTTTTCTTTTGAAATGCCAGCTCAGCAGGAAAAGTATTAACAATTTATTATTTAAGCATACATACAGATTTCTTTCTTTTATTTTGATGAAGCCAATAAAGAGCAAAATGCATAACTTAGTTTCAATGAAACAGTTAACCAGGTCATATTTTCCTAACTGTCTGTATTCTGTATCCTAATTTATACAAATATTCCTGTGTGTGAAACAAACACTAAAAATAAATATCCCTATATATTTATTGGCTATCTTCCAAATGTACCTTTTTTTAAAAAAATAAACACTAGGTACTCATAATGTTAAATAATAGTTTAGCAGACTATTATTTTTTAGAGAAGTGTATTTCTGCTCTGACTTCCTCAGTTTGACCTTAGTGGTCAGATACAAGACAAAACAAAGGAAGTCAATTTTGATTGTTTGAGCTACCATGGGAACAATAGAGAAAAGGTTTTCGAGGAGTTGCTTCTTACACGTCAAACAATGTAGACATGTTCTTTCATCTCCGGATTTGCTTCCCAGTGGGGTGAGAGAGCAACTCCACTTGATATTTAGAAATGTACACGTCAACATGTTTAATAAAATAGTAAGTTTAAAATTTCCTTTGTTGAAGTTCTCTTATCTCCAAACCAAAACAACTAGCGATCACTGGCTATGAAAGAAGACAACATTATTATGATCAAATTAACATCGCAGAATTAAGATACCCAACAAAAAATAAATGCAACAATAAAAATCAGTTGTTTACCTTTTATGAAAATGTATATAGGTATTCAATTTTTTAAAGGAATTTAACAATCAATTTTGTCTATGCCAGGACATTAAAATGTAATCTTTTTATGTAATAGATTTTTTTTTTTTTGCATATATAGAATGTCATCAAGTCATTTATATTATTTACAGACTATTATGCTAATCTTTGCTTCAGCCATTGTACCTTCTGGTCTTCTTCAGGTGCTTATCACTCCAGGCAACCTTCAGGGAAATTCAAACTGAACCCTTTATTTAATCTACTGGAAATTATATGTTGTAATGTTTGATTATGTTATAAAGTTCTAAATTATGTTTCTTCAAGAGGTCACACTAAAATATACATTTGTAAAGATTTGCAAAGTAATTACAGAAAACAGTAAATAAACATCAATTGTAAGAAGACAATGTATGGTTGTTAGTAAAAGGAACAGTGAATTACAAATTGGGGATACAAAAATCAAGCAAGTATAAAAACTTATATATCTAGAAAGTGTTTTAACAGAAGACGAAAAATGTGACACCAAGTCCAAAAGCACATTGAGACAGCAAAAACTACCTTCCGAAAGCTAATAAGAAACAGGAAAATGTCATTAGAAACAAAGAAAAGAGTACTGAACTATTATATAATATTGATTATCATATATAGCAGTGAATACTAGACAATCTCATCACAGATGAAGAGGCTTAAGGCAACAGAAATGCAGTTCTACAGAAGGATACTGAGAATACCATGGACTGAACATGTGAGCAATGACAAAGTTTTAGAGAAAATGAAAACTAAAAATAACACTTATACTTAGCATCAGAAAGAGACAGTTGAAATCTATAGGGCATTTAATGAGAAAAGAAGACTTGGAAATTTTGACACTTATAGGATATATTGAAGTCAAGAGGAACAGAGGAAAGCAGTGCATAATTTACCGAATGATGGTTGGCAGAACAGGTATTAGGAGAGATAGCAAAAAAAAAAAATGAATAAAAAATTACTAATAGCTACAAAAGACAGGAAGTTGTGGAGAATCATGATTGCTAACATCCTGAAGTGACATTACACATAAAAGAACAACAACATACAGGGAAAGAGATATAAAGAGGAAAATTATTCTACAAACATGACAATAATAAAGCTGACTCACCTAGTGTACCATTTAACCACAAGTGACCTTCTATAAGCTGATCAATAATAGCAAAATAGTGAGCATTTGCTTCATCATTCATTACCCAACCTCCGGTTACTATTTCCAGTTGGCCCTTTTCAATAAGGCTGAAAAATTAAAAAAAGTAACAAACTAAAAGTAAAGAAAGATTTTGAATCTTAACAGCAACATAAAATTAATCAGTACAGAATCTCAGGTGATAAGTATAGAGGTTATAATAAAATAATAACCTTTGTATTTTCCTTTTATGGCAATATACAAAAATAGTAAACAGATTTCTATAAACAATGAGAACTTGGAAACAGTTACAGTACGGACAGAAAATATATTTTATGCTTTGATGTCTGCAGAATTCTATTATGGTCAAAGAATTTTAAAAACAGGTTAATCCTCAGAAATGATTATTTCTAGGTCTTTAATTTGCAGAGAAAAATATTCTAAAATTAAAAACCTCAATATCTGTCTATATCTCTGAGATGAGGTATTATGACTACTTATATTATTTACACTATTCGGACTGTTATCCTCATCTTCATTGCCATATTCACAACATTTCGGTTGTTGTGCACTCCAGCCTCCTTTAGGTGATTGGAATTTCGAACTGAACGCTTTATTGGGTTAAAGGGAAATAACTGAGACATCCGGAAGAGGCCTGGCATGTGGAACTAAAACAATCTACCCCTCAAGTGGGCAAAATAAAAGGTTTGAAATTCCATTCGCCTGAAGAAGGCTGGAGCATACAAGAGTTGAAACGTGAATATGGCAATGAAAATGAGGATATAGTGTAAATAGTGTAAATAATGTAAGTAAAAACTTCAAAAAAGTCAAATTAAAAAAAAAAAAAAAAAATTTAGAATTATAAAAATAGTGGATTTGGATTCAACAAATCGAATAAGGTGTAATTAGCTATCTCTATGGCTGTTGTACTTGTGATTTGCAAATCCCAATTACAACCATCAAAAGAGAGAAGCCATTACAGCTGACTATATTTTTTTTTTTTTTTTCTAACTTGATAGAACTAAATTTGAAAACCTGAAGCGAAGAGTTAACAGGAAAACAAATGCAGACGACTTACGTTTTTACCCTTTTTCGTTTCTCGGGGGAAATTTCATCCCACCAGAGTGAAAAAAATGACATCTCAGCATAGATTAGTTTCATCTCTTTCTTTAATTCAAGCTGTTCAACCATATTCTCAAAAATACTTCTTGTCTGTTGCTGGTAATAATTAACAAATGTTTTTATCCATCCTAAATAGGAAAAAAAGAAAAGATCATAAATAAATGGTATATGATAGCATTATAAAGTTTTGTGTGACCTTTGTAAACAATATTTCCTTTGAACCAGTAATATTAATTTTTTAACAATTATAAAACTATAAACAGAATTCCGTCTTCTTGCTAACAAGGCAAGATTCATTGATGTCCCATAAAGAAAGGTCTCTTTCATATGAAAAGTGGATGATGAAATATAAGCATAAGAGAAAACTAAAATTACCTATACACACACAATATATATTTTAGGATATTAAAACAACATGTAACATCGCTACACAATTTCTGCCATGTTCTAATGCATATCAATGTGTTTCCTCAGGCGATGGTAAATTACTGGTGAGTGAACAATTAATTTGGTTTCAAAAGCAAAATATATCCTCTTTTTTCGGGGGATTTTATTTACAACAATATATCAACCATGACCCATTTCTAAGTAACTTAATTTTTCTACTTTGCTTAGTTTGAATTGAACATAGGTCATATTCAATTGGTTGATCAGGATAAAGCTCCCAAGCCTGCTTTATAACCATTTTTCTCCAATTTTTCTCAAAATGTATATGTGCTGAATTTTTTTCAGAAATGTAAACAAAGCAATTTCTAATGAATTTTATTTTTTAATCCAACATATTTTTATTACTTCAAACATTATTTTTAGTGGATATCCATATTTGGGTAGACAGTCTATTTATTTTAAACAGTATTTATTTTGTCTACCAACCTGCATACCTGAAGAAACTAAATAAAAAAAATATGTTGGATTCAAAAATAAAATCCATTAATTCTTTAGAAATTGCTTTGATAAAAGGAATGACTAAATGGCCCAGCAATGGGAAATACAAAAGATATGCTGCTGTTGCAAAAAAAAAAAAAACAATGTCATCTGCTAAGTGTTGTCATCACTTGAGTCACTGAGTGTTAAAAACAAAACAAAACACATCAACCCATTGTTCAAACAAAGGTTATATCAAAAAAAATTGACCTTTTTTTTTTTTTTTTTTTTTCATTCTTTGCTTTTATCTGGGTGTGGTGGGTTTTATTACAACTTGTTCTAAAACATTTATTGCTTGCTGGCTGACCTTTGACCAGAGATGTCAAAGTCAATTTAGTTTAATTTTCCTTATCACTGCTATTTTATGAAAAAAAAAAAAAAAAATTTTGGTTTCTGGTGGTCAAGAATTACAAATAAATCTTTCGCCTTTTACTAAAGATTTCCGTGGCTGGGTGTCAATTTTTTTTTAACCCCTGGCAGTCATATAATTGAAAATTACCAATGGACTTTGTTGCATTTTGACCCCCTAGGAATATTGATTTCCTTCAAAACTCCCAATTTTATGCCTGAAATAGTTTGATTTATGATTTTGGATTTCTGATTTTCAAAAAAAAAAAAAAAAAAGTTTAATTTCCCATTAATGGGGAAAATTTTTGTTTAGAATGAGAAAAAATGCAAAATTTTCACTATTTTTTCACATTTTACCCACAGAAAAATTTTTGAGTCATTTACACCAGCCAATTTTACTTTTAAACGAAAGAATATATCCTTTGCTTTCAGAAAATACCTAGTTTCATGGGGTTCAGATCAAAAGTTTCCTTGATATTTGTTTAGATGATGATAAAACAGTCATTTTTCAATATTTTACCCCCTATAAACGTATGAAAATCCATTTTTTGAGAGAAAATAAGCAGTGACAAAATGACTTTTGCCATTTTTGTGATGATTTTTATTTGGGATAGAAAATTTTTACCATAGTAAACCTGAATTGACTATTTAATTTCAGTGGGGCTATAGGAAACCTCAAACATCTGATGCCAATATGAAGTCAAAAAGGATTAATTTTCTATTAAAAAACATTTACAATTTGGAGCATTTTCAAATATCTGGAACAGCTGGATTCATTCATTTATTATTTAATAAAAAATTTTCTTTTGTATAATAAAAAATGACAGGCAAAAAAATAACAAATTTTTTCCTAATATTTTAATTTTTGTAACAATAAAATAAAATCATTCATCATGAAGTTTAATGTTTTAGTTAAATAAATCTTTGAAAAGTTTTGAAAAACATCAAATATTTGAAAATTCCTTATTATATATATATTGGACTGAGTATTATAATATATGATAATTATAAATATATAAATATATAATGAGAAAATTATTTCAAAGGAAAGAGTTTTAAATCTATTCTTAAAAAAAACTTTTAAATACCAAGATTAACATTTGTATTTTTGCACGTTAAAAGGTTTCATTAATGAATTTGAGAACTGAATGAAACTTTTATATATATATATAAAATATATATATATATATATTTATGTTTTATAAAGTTAAAAAAAAAAAAAAAAATCATCATTTTTAAACAGAATATGTTTTCTTTAAAAATATTCAAAAAATTTAATTTGAAGTTTTTTTTTTTTTTTTATTTATAAAACTAGTTTTTTTTGAGTTCTGATAATTAGCTCCAAAATAGAAAAATATTAAGAATTTTATAAATTGATTCTAAAAAGGAATTGCATTTTGATACACAAATGTTTTTTTTTTTATGTTTATGAAAATATAACAAGTTTATAAAAGTGAAGAAAAATGGAATATTGTTAGACAAAAATAAACAATTTTGATTTCAAAAAAAAACTATTTAAAAATCTATCTCTGATATTGAGTGTTTTTTGAATAAATATAGCTTATTAAAACTGTTTCTTTCAGTTACCTCCCTTGTCATCATAGAATTTTTTGGTTTTTTTTTTTTGCTAACAATTTTTCTTTCAAAGTTGCAGATTCAAAATACAGAAATTTGTTATTAAAATGGATGTTAAATAAATATAAAATGGTAAAGTTGAAAAATAAAAATTTTAGTTATATTGTTTTTTCATTCTTGACAGGAAGTGCTTTGGATATTTCATAATTGCCTATATCATGAAGTTAACACAGAATTCTAAAGATGATTAGTATAAATATATACCAATATAATTTTATTCCGATATTTTAAATACAAAATATCAAAAGCAAATTTTTCCCAATCTTATGCTGTCCAACCTAGAAACATCAAAGAGGGAGCAGGGGGCTTTTTAATCAAGCCTGTTCTAAAAAAAAAAAAAAAATGTAAACATGTACATGTTGATTTATTCTTTTTGCTAAGATTTTACACAAACACGGTTATTTGGAATGCAAAAAATCCATTTTCAATTTTTTCCAGGATATTATTACACACAAATCATATAAAAACTTTATATTAAATACATTCATGAATAGTAAAAAATACTTCCTCCTGGCAGTAATTAGTAAAGTTTTAGATAATAGGAACTATGATTATGACAGAGTCTAGAATTTTTTATATGAAAGGAAATAAAGCACCTACCTTAACTAAAGTTAATATGTTCAGTTTTATTTTTGTCCATTATTTAGAAGAATAATAAAATTGTAATTTTAGAGTTAATCAAAAAATTGATTTAAAATTATGGGGGCCATATTTTCAAAATATATTACTATATCAAATTTTTTTTTCCTTCAACCCATAAAAATGAAACAGTTGCTTAAAATCTTATTTTTATTTTAAAAAAGTTGATTTGTAAAAACTTTTTAATTTAGTTTTTAATCTGTTTTTTAAAGCCACTTTATATATTATATATATATTTGTATATTTTAGACACAATTTTTCATTTTTTTCAAATTTTAAAAGAACAAAAAAGACAGAAGATAATTGAGTTGGAAAAAAAAGACCTTTTTGAGAACTGGTTTTCATTAGCTAAACATGTCAAGGTTTTTTTTTTCAAATTATAGTTTTCTTTCTGATTAGGTTCATTGGTTTACAGCTTTTTTGTTTTTGTTTTTATATCTATATATATATTTAATTTAACCTTGTTTTTTTTTTTTTTGTCTAAATTTTTTTATTGAAAAAATATATTTTATTAAGTTCAATTTTTAAATTTAAAAATGATTTTTGCTGATAGAATTTATTTATTATATGTTGGAAGAGATTTTCAAACTTTTCCTAAGACTGTCTTAGTGAATTTAAAAATAACTGGATTTTCAAAAATTTGTTTTTTTTTTTCTCATTCTTTGAATAAATGACATTTAAATCCTATCTTGTTTGAAAAGATAAAAAATTTGCTTTATATATACATAAGTATATTTATTTTGAAATGATAATAAATAGTATTTTTTCGGATTACAACTATGCCTTAAACATCAAGAAAAAGGTTGAAGAAAAATGTGCATGAAACAACAAAAAAAACAAAAATTTCTGATTTATTAAAAAACTATAAACCTTTTTTAGGTTATAAATTTAAAAAAAAAAATATAACAAAGATTAGGTTCTAAATTTTTATTTTTTGGAGAATAATGATAAAATGAATTAATTATAAAATATGTTTGGCATTTATTTAACCAACTTTTCACCTATTTTACCCCCCTTTGAACTTGGCTATGCAATTAACAATTCTGAGCTGTTATTTAACTTCATCTTCCAACTTATTTTTGACCCATCAAGATATATACTAGGAGGAGATGTTGCTAAAAAATCCTTTAATGATTCAATTATTTGAATTTAAATGAATTATACTGTAATCTTGGTGGATAAATTTGATCTTGATGATAAAACATATTCAATGAAACATCAATTGATGATGCCCCTGCAATTTAAAAAGTTAATTAAAAGTTTTGATATCAGAAATTTTGCCATACAATAAATGTTCATGATTATACCAACTTCAAAAGAAATACATATTTTTGTCTAATTCTGTTATGAGGAAAAGACATTTCCTCTATTTGACATTCTATTTGTATTCAATGATATGAAAGTTTTGTAATTTGAGTGGGCCTTGTTCTAAAAGCAATCTTTACAATATCTAACAAAATTGGGCAATGTATCTAAATAAACTTTACTGAAACTCAATTTTCAATCCTGAAGTCCTTTTTAATTTTTTTTTTAAAAAAAAAAAAAATCAGTATTTTTGATTGATTGAACATTTTTTTTTCCA